CCATGCCACATGTTGATGTTGGAGCACAGGATGCTCTCCACTGCACACCTGTAGAAGGAGGTGAGGACTGAGCTTCCCAGACCAGCTCGCCTCAGCCGTCTGAGGAAGTAGAGTCTCTGATGAGCTTTCTTGATCAGGCTGGTGGTGTTGTTGCTCCAGCTGAGGTTGTCATTCATGTGTACACCCAAGTACTTGTAGCTGGAGACCACTTCCACCGCAGATCCTCTTATGTTCAGGGGGGTGTAGGTGTTTTTGTTCCTTCTGAAGTCCACAATCATCTCCTTTGTCTTCTTCACATTGATGTGAAGGTTATTCTCTCTGCACCAGCTCTCCAGGTGTTCGAAGCATTTAGCGACTATCGGGGTGAGGGCCACTGGCCGATAGTCATTCAGACCAGTCACTGTAGAGCTTTTTGGGATGGGGATGATGGTGGCAGTCTTCAGGCAGGTGGGAACTGTTTCCAGGGTAAGTGAGGTGTTAAAGATGTCTGCCAGCACCTCACGTGATACGTCGTGCTACGTCATGTGAGGCGGGTCTTATTACTCTGGGTTCATGAGACACGCCACCGTTCAGGAAATCCATTCCATAGTTTGAAGCCAACGTGCATCATGGATCGGAAATATCGGCAGGAGGATCGGAAAATCCGATACGTAAATTATGCTGGTATTGGAGGCCGATACTGGATCGGATAGGCCCCATCCCTAGTGCAAACGCCTGAGCTTGTGGAGCTTGCTTAGAAATGGCTTCCTCTTTGCACTGTAGAGTTTCAGCTGGCAACGGCGTATGGCACGGTGGATTGTGTTCACAGACAATGCTTTCTGGAAGTATTTCTGAGCCCATTCTGTTATTTCCTTGACAGTGGCATTCCTGTTTGAGGTGCAGTGACGTTTAAGGGCCCGGAGATCACGAGCATCCAGTAGAGATTTACGGCCTTGACCCTTACACACAGCGATTGTTCCAGATTCTCTGAATCTTTTGATGATGTTATGCACGGTTGATGATGATAACTTAAAAGTCTTTGCTGTTTTACGCTGGGTAACAACATTCTGGTATTGCTGCACTATCTTTCTGTGCAACAATGGTGGAATTGGTGATCCTCTTACCTTCTTGGATTCTGAGAGACAATGACACTCTGAGAAGCTCTTTTTATACCCAATCATGTTTTCAATTGACCTAATTAGTGTTAATTGGTCTTCCAGCTGTTCGTTATATGCTCAATTTCCTTTTGCCAGCCACTTATTGCTACTTGTCCCAACTTTTTTGGGATTTGTTGACACTGAAATTTTGAATCAACATATTTTTCCTTTAAAATGTTACATTTACTCAGATTAAACTTTTGATCTGTCGTCTATGTTATATTACGAATAAAATATTGACATT